GCGAGCTACCTCATAAAGGTGAATGTGGAGAGTGTACCTCATAAACGTGTGCACATTTAAGTATGAATTCGGTGTGCCTGTGAGCCTGTTTAGGTAACTACAACTAAGTGGCTATGTACTGGGCATGTTTTAGTATGAATAGCAAGGTTGCTGTGCAGTGAGCATGTTTAGGTATCAATAGCAAGATTGTTATGCAGTGGGCATGTTTAAGTATGAATAGCAATGTTTCTGTGCAGTGAGTATGATCAGGCATGAATAGCAATGTGGCTTTGCCCGTTCAGGTATGTTCCAAATGTTACAGTATTTTGTTACGGATTTACATATTAATAATTACATATGTTGACTGCAGGATTTGGTTAATTCGCACAACAGAAAAATGGATTATAACTCTTCAGAATGATTCAAACTGCACCTCTGCGTTTTTTCTATATATGAAGTTATTCTCCTGCAATATTGGAAAACGTTATCTGTCTTATGAGAACCTTGTGTAAGTTAGAATTGATTAAGTTATATAGTGTTGTGAAACCGTCGCATACTAATTCAAAAGTATCATTCAGAGGAGCTATTGATACTTGCAATAACTTATTCCATCCGTTTGTTTCAATTGATTAAGTTTTATATCTTGAAGAAGCTTGTATCATTGTTAGAATGAACTTTATTGACATTCATGGTCTCTCCTTGGCATATATTTTCGATGTTGTCATTCGTGGATTAAAATTTAGTTTTTCCTAAATTGAAATTTCTGGCGCAAATTATTGCTTGAACTCTCGTCTAATATTTTTTTTCACTCACATTTACACACGCACGTCGTTTTCTACATGAACTAAATTCCTCTCACCTCGCCTTTGATCTCTCCGCAGCAAAGATTTGTATTCATCTGCCAGACCGATACGATGAAACGTTGCTATACAGTAAGATTACCAGTGCTATACAGTAAGATTACCAGGAACGCCTTCCTTGATTGACCCGCATGCTGCTGTCTGCTCAATGGTCTTTTACAGGACGTTCTCATGTTCGGAAGCTTTGATCTTGTCGCAGCCTCTCATCCTGAAACGTGCTTTTTATTCTAATTTTTCTTATTCGATTTTCGTTTGACCTCTATTTAGGGCATCGAGGGAAACACTTTCCGCCCCATCGCTCTTTGTATTGGCCTGCGGGCTTACCCATAAATCAGCACTCTAAATAAATGGACGAGGATTCTATCCTATCTCCGTGTTATCCGCACCTCGGAAGCCTTATCAGGAGTCCAGAAGCATCTTGCTTCAACTGTGAGGGAGGAGAGAAGTTAGCTCAGAGGAAAGTAGCTGCGACGTTACAGGCTACGAGATCGTCAAGGCAAGACCTCTGCTTTATCTTTGGCGACCTCGACAGCCTTGCCACAACTTGCTCCAGCGCATCTCCATTTGATCGACAACCGCTGCCTAACTTCAGAGAGGTATACGCTTTTAACGTGACGTTTATTCAATATGTATAGACATTTCCCTGAAATATTTAATAAGAGACAATTTTCATGTGAATGTCAGATGTTCAATTTTAGATTTTTTATTTGTTACTCGAGAACCAAATAGAAGTCCTTATGTTAAGCTTGGTCGTCAATTAAGCTCTCTGTCGTAAATTCGTAAATTGAGCTCTCAGTTCGACTCAGAGCTCAGACGACATGTATCTCATGTGACGTTTCTCCTTTACACACGGAATCCAAAAATTTACATTGAGTTGCTGAGTGAAACTGCAAACAATATTTTTCAATTTTTTGGGGAAAATGACCCGCAAAAACTTCAGTGCATGCGAAGAGAATTTTTTACATTTCCGCCAAAACCATGTTTTACTGCGGCGTTTTCCGAGACACTGATATAAAAAATGTTTCGTTAATAAAATAATTTGTAATATTCCTCTGAACGATCGCCATTGCATTGTGTCCGAAAAAATATACCTCTATAGGCCTTCGTGATGCCATAAAAGCTAATTGACCGACCCAGCCATGTGCCTCCGGCGTCCGGTTTATCTGCTCCTACACAGCTTAGTTTGGTCGGCTCGACGATCGAAGTTTCAAGGCCCAAGTTAAAGAGCTAATAAATTTGGCGGGCCAGTCAGTGTACCGGCGCTGAGACACAAGGCCAGCCAGGCGCGTGTCCCACCGAGCTATTACTGAGACGCGGCCACGCGCACCCGACACGCAGCCGTGCCAGGCTCGTGTCACACTTAAAACTGAGACGCAACCACGTACGCAGCCGTGCCAGGCTCGTGTCCCGCCTATAGCTAAGACACGACCTTATAACTGAGGCGCGACCACGCGCGCCCGACACGCGGCCGTGCCAGGCTCGTGTCTCACTTATAACTGAGACGCGACCACGCGCGCCCGACACGCGGCCGTGCCACGCTCGTGTCTCACTTATAACTGAGACGCGACCACGCGCGCCCGACACGCGGCCGTGCCACGCTCGTGTCCCACCTATAGCTAAGACACGACTACGCGCACCCGACCCGCAGCCATGCCAGGCTCGTGTCCAGTCTATAGCTGATACGCGACCAAGCGCGTCCGACACGTGGCCGTGCCAGGCGTATTAGCGTCTGCAGGTCAGCGAGACTCCCTGATGAGAGCAGCTGCAAAATTTCAAATATTTCAAAATTTTAGTCCATAGAGTGATCTACCGAACTATTTGTTGTCATTTTATTTGGCCTTTACTCATAGCCTTTATGTAATAAATGTTTTTCTAGGAATGAGAGTCTGGCGTAAATAGTGGTTTCTGCCTCTAGTTAGTTAACATTTATGTATAGTTTTTTTATATTTTTTATATGTATAGTTTTTGTTTATTTTATTTATTTATATATCCAAAACCTTCACATAACGTAGGTCAAAAAACGTCTACATATCACCAGTTTAAAATTTTCAAATTTCTCACAATTTTAAACTCAAAATTTACCTAAGTGAAGCGTGCCTGTTATTTTTAACCATTTCTGTCACCATACTGGTATTTATTCTGCTCTTGATTGAGATTTATGTCTCTTAACTCTGATATCCAAAATTCAATGATCGTCGAGATACAATGTTATTCGCAGATTAATTCACACAAACTTCAAAAAGTGGTTTCATAACAATATCATAAGATACGAAGGTTAGTTCATTTTATGTGAAATTCTCTAATAAAATTACTGACTCACTTATTCGTATTCCCTGAGACGTGCAACGCCTTAGAAATGAGGTGCTTTCGCCATCCTGGGTCCTTTGATAACAATTCATCGATGTCGCCTTGCGCAGTCTCTTTGACTGTTTCTTTTTCACAACCACTTGACTTCATACAAAATTTATCTCATAAATAGACGATGTTATTAAGATGAATTCCTCATTCAGGTTTAATTCCGGCACTTGAAAGAGGTTTTCGTCATGGAGTACTTCACGGTGTCGGAGCAACGTTTCCTTCTTGTTCAATGAGCAATTTATAAATATATTTGGCCTAGTTCCTCATGAACGCTTACTGTTTGATTCAAAGATAGCTCGTCCTGCTTGATTAAGCATTAGACAGCTGGTCCTTTGAATTGGTTCCGCTCTAAACAGGTCCCCTGAATATTATTAAAAACTTCAACAATCTATGAAATGAATCATCACGTTCGTCTGCCTGCATGTGACGATAAATACTAACACAAAGAAATAATTTTAATTCCAATAAGATAACCAATTTCTCACGTTATAATCCCGTTGAAATTTCTCGGGCAAAAATATTCTGCACTTCTGTTATAAGATTTACGTTTCATTATTACTGCAAGTCATGTGACGTTCAATGTTGCAATTATTATAATAGTGTCCATGTTCGCACAAGTTCATTGCTTTTCGGTCACCTAAACTTCGGGAATATGATTGTTCCAAGTCCTTATATAGGCCGGTTTAGGCCACTTGAGTTAGCGTCGAGCGACACCTGTTCGACTTGGGTCACTGCAGTTTTATGCTTTATGCAAATACGATAGGTTACGTCTGAATAAAAGTGCTAATTTTGGTGCGGTTTGGTCGCTCTGCAGTCACTAGTCATGTTTACTGGCGAAGAGAAATTACAATTTCTTTTAAGCCAGTAAAGGTTTCCTGACATAACTTTTCATTACATGACATTGCCAGAAAAAAATACAGCGAGTAGGAAAATTTTTTATTTACATTTTTTTGTATTTTAAGAACACAGTTATTATAGAATACTTCAAACCTCAACATTTCATCTACCTCGATCCTCATAACGTATTTCGTTTGCTGCCAATTTCAAGACATTGAAAACAATTTCACAGATCATGTGCCACTTTTGCCGTAGCTGTCTCCATTTTTCGTCAGATTGGTCAGAGGCAATTTGGTGATACTGTCTCCTAACTCATTTGTCGTCTTGGAAGTTCTTTTGCTGAATCCAATCTACTGACCATGAGGGGTAACCTCCCGAGACCAATTCTGGCTCGGCAGAAAATTATTTCAAATGCTGTTCGCTTCTTTTTGGGAGTTGCGACTGCTGAGAATTGATTTTTAGAAGGGTATGTTGTAATTTTTACCTGTCGAGATTTTTAAAGTCACAAATAAACTGCGCGGCGAAGTTACAAACTTGACACCCGGAAATTGTTCGATTGTCTGGCTGAGCCAGAGTTCCGTGCAGTCAAAGGAATCAGAAAATCTAGTCAAAGGAATCAGAAAGCTGGAAAAAACTTGACTTGTGGATTTATATACGTAGTCTTCAAAGCAAACGTAAGAGGCTCTGATGGCTCATCATTGGAAAAGCTGAGTGTTATTGGGTTGCTTATAAGTTGTTCTATCTAAGATCCAGGTATTGTAAGCAGTTTATATTCCCTTCCGGTCGCTACCAAATAATTCAAGATGTTTGAAATTGCAGCGTTTCAAACTCAATTATATTTTCATCATCGCAATTCAAAAGAAATTTATTTTGCGTTCCAATTCATTTCTACGACAAAGGTGTATGCACATTCTGACTTCCATCTGACAGAGGAGGATTCTTCTTTACTGTGGTCTGCATCATCAATCTGCGGACGATGGAGAATAGCAGAAGCTTTACTGGATATACCAAAAAAAACATTTGCAGATGCAATGAATTGTTATCGAAAACAATTTAGTACAATGAGTGATGTGCATGGAATTCATCATGCCTTCAAGGATGTGAGTATTAAAAAAACACGCTGGTCACATTTGTAAACAATTTATAATTTTGACTTTTATTTTTAATTGCTCATTATTTGCTTTGGATTTCATCAATTAAATTATATCTAAAACTGAAGGTACTGAATTGAAGGCATCTAATTAGCAGGTATTTGCACCGGTAACGCCAGCTTGCGATTCTATATAATCAATATTTTGTCCGACTGCCTACTTTCTGCCAAAATAGCGCCTTTTCGTATCTCTCGAGCTTCTCTTTGAGAAAATTTTCCTTTGTCTGTTTTCTTTTCCAATTTATGAACCTGTATGATTACATCAGGAACTTGTTTATTCGAATTACTATACATAATTGCATGTACAATAAATTTCTGTTGGAGGTCGGAATTTCTGGGCGTGGTTTGGGAATTTCTGGCTTGGGTTGTCGCATAAAATGTTCTTACTTAGTTGTCAGACTCGGCCATTGTGAAAATCAGAGATCGATTTGAATTTATTTCGGCAGATTAAATTCGTATTGAAAACAAAGGAAATGACGTAATTTCAAGTTAGCCTATCACTTGAACTGAGGTTTTATTTGGAATTTAAAATAAATAACATAAAACTTCCCATCTCAATGTGAAGCTCTCGGAGCAAAATAGTTTCAACACTCATGACAAACAAAAATCAGCATGTTACGTTTGAATGGCTCAAGTTACAACAACGTTGAAGCTGGAAAAATCTGAGGCATAAGTTGGAAAAGCTCGGGCTTTTGCACCTCCACGATGAAGTAGCTTGTTCGCAAGTTCTAACTTCTTGGACACTTCTCTCCTGTACTCGGGATGACGGAGTGCAGTAACCATACCGGAGGCGATCCTCACGGAGAGGATGAAGATTCCTACGCACTACAGATTCAAGTAAGTGAACTCTTGTATTTTTTATGATTAAATTTCAATAATTATCTTATTGAGATTAAAACTAATAATTTAGGTTATTATTTTTCTTATGGTTGTTACACACATTGCTACAACAGACGAAAACAGGAGGTCGGTGTACCGGATCAATCGGTAAAGCTCACAGCTTAATGCAGGGACTGCGCTACTTTATTTGCCGTCTTGAGATCCACTTCAGCCACATTCCTGCATCACATTGCTTATATTTCCTTCGAGGTTTAGAATGAAACGACATTTTCTCGAGAGCAGATAGCTCCTCTCAAATTCTTGTCTTAAATTATTTTAACATACTCTCGCCAATGACCGACGACTACGCGGTTACCTCTTGCCTTTCAGCAGACTGCATGTAATGAAGTACTTCTATAGTGTATTTTTTCGGGTCAATTTATTTTTTTTAATATTATCGTTAACTACATCTTCAACTATTCATAAGGTTGCGGATGAGAAAACATCAAGTTCTTACACAAAAATGCTAACTTTTGTAACATTTTTTAAAGTACACATTCCTGAATCGGTTCGCGAACAAAAGCAGTTTCTGCAATTAAAACGAAAAAAACTTGTTGATTGATTGCTACTACAAGTTATTCTGCGTTCACACTGAGCCAATTGTGACAGCCACCAGTTAACCGGACACCGCTTTAGCTCTTATTTTTGAGGTTTATTCGGAAAGTAGCGAAGCATTGACATCAATCTGTATATACATTGATTTAGAGGCCAGGAACTAAAATTGAAATTAAAAGTAATCATATTGCTCGTAAACACACTTCACCCAACGCTAGTGTAATTTTTTTGTAAGCATTTCTTGAGCGCTGTTTAGAGACAGGTGGACATGGTCAGCCGCTTCGTCGCATTCCGCATGATGTCAACGCTAGTATCAAATCTTGTCACTTTCTATGGTATATTGAGCTTCAGCCAAATGTTACTCAGAGCCATGTTGGGTGAGTATATGAAGCCTGCTAAACCTCTGGAATGCGATGGATTAGAAAAACTTGATTTGCCTGTGCAGAATGGGCGAAGGCATTGTCCTGCTAGAGCTGCCAAGCTCTGTCGCAGATTGACTCGATTATTTTTGTCGCACAGCGTCGCTTACGAGGCGAAGGACCTATTAATAGTACTTCTTTGGAATGGTTGACATAATATTACAATATTACACATCTTTCGACCTTGGTATTGGTCGAATTTACGTGTTTTTATTTTGCTTCAATGTTAGGCTAAATACAGGGCCGGTCACTGTAACTCGTCTTAACACTTGCCGACTGTCAGCAACACAGCACAAAAAATTCACGGGTAAAATGAGTGCTAAAAAAATCTTAAATTTTTGTCGGGAATTAAAATAGACGGTTAATTTGATCCAATGGAAAAATGATCCTGTTCAAATCTTAGCAGTCTTCGTTCTTTGCCAGTCAGTCAAATCACGTGAGTAGCTACTAGCCGGCTCACCAGCCATTAAACTTGTATTTTTTAGTTTACCGGCCTCAACTCGCTACTAGATCAGCAGCACGATAGTTAATGGTGGCTAATGTCGGTCAGTTAGTGGTGGTCAATGTTGATTAGTTAGTGGTGACCAACGTTGGTCAGTTACAGTGGCCACCACTACTAACCGCACGGGCAATGGTACTTACAGTTTTACTGGACGTGGACGGTCGGCCTGAGACGGGAGTGCCGGCTTGAGTGTTATCAGCTACACCAGCAGGTACAAAAAAGGCTCACTCTGGAGGAACATCACCAGAGAATTTTGTGGGCGCGAAGACAAGTTTTAGTTCTCAACTTCACTCCTGTTGAGTACTTGACCAAAGAATCAGCCTCCAAGCATCTTCGTCTTTTGCAAGGAATTTGTATCGATAGCTCCCAAGATCTCGTAACAAAGCATTCAATCTGATTAAAGTAAGACTCACTTCGTCGAAATTTTCTTCACCATTGTTGTTAAATAAAAAGCTTTTTCTATTGTAACTCATATTTATACGTGTTGGTCAACTAACTTTCATTGTTATCTTTCGATAACTGTTGAAAAATTCTTTCGCTCTCTTCGATCGAATGTTCACTGTATTTTTTATGTATTCTTTAGTTTCATGAGACCAACATTGAACTTCTCTACTCATGTTCGAAGTTTTATATTGTAATGAAATGACGATTGGCTCAAGAAGATACAGTGTGTGGTTAACATTCATTTTGTTGAAAAGTCGGCCAATTGATCCATAAAATGGTTTGCAATCGATCGACTGCCATGATATTACGTCAAATGAAGAGATTAATAACTAGGATCTTCAATTTTCTAGACATTGTTTCAGTCATTGTACTTAGCGCTGCAGACATTGACATTCTTTGAACATTGTATTTGGCTTTTCCTTTGCTTTTAAATTCTTAATCTATAAGTATTAAGATAATTATTACCGAATTGGCTTGCTTGGAATTGAGTCGTTGTAAAGTTCAGTAGCTCAAACATGATATGCTTGTTGAAGTTTTACTGAAGAATCGTAAATGAAAAAAATGCTTCCTGTCAGTACGTGGTGTAATGTGTCGCAACATTTTACCGAAGAATCTCGAATGACACAAGTGCTTCCTGTCAGTAGTATAGTATAGTATAGTATAGTATAGTATCTTCGGGAATTAAAGAATAGGCCTGGATAGGCCTGTCGCCGATTCTTGTACTTTTCTTGACTAGACTGGCCTTTTGATCAGATCTTTTCAACGGACGGTAGATTTAAAATAGCTTCTAGATATCCGTTGTTCCGTAGGGTACGAGGCATTTTAAGATTAAACATATGCTCCTGCATGGCCTTGTCTAGTCTGTTCTTGAACGCGTTCATACTCGGAGCGTCAACAATATCTTCAGGGAGGCTGTTCCACATGTCAGTGACTCGAAGTGAGAGTACGTGGTGTAATGTGTGGCTACATTTTACTGAAGAATCTTGAATGAAATAAATGCTTCCTGTCAGTACGTGGTGTAATTATATCTGAAAAGGTAGTCTAGCTGTAGGACCTCCTCATTATTGTAATCCGCTCCTACAAGGATCCTTGGCTCTAATCCTGCCGTATCGGCTTTCACTAACAAATGACTACTGTTACGTCGGTATCCTTGCACTGCCGTCCATTTCCGACACGTGTGCTTCATTCTTCCGGCGAAAAACAATCGTTTTTTATTATTTGTTCAATTAAATAACGGAAAAAGTTCAGTTCAAAATTGGTATATCATTATTAACGTTATTCTCACTAAGGTGTTTTGTTATTTATCAGCCTTTTTCTTCACTTTTTGATTAATTCTTCATCTATACATTGAATTACTCCGGTTTTTCATGGAGTGAGGTTAAAAATACTTCACCTCACCACGAAATGGAAAAATTTAAAATAGCGCAGTGTCAAATGTGCTCATAAATTTACGTGGGCGCAGAGCGGCGCCATGTGGCCTGCGATCGTCCATCAATCTTTGTCAAGGACCGCGTTGATGGTCGTACGATGGATGAGCGGCCGACTGTCCATCCCTTCTAATAATCTCAATCCATTCATTCTTATAGCCCCTTATCGTCTATGTAATTTCGTCAAATAAGCTATGATAACAGTCAAAACTTTAATTGAAAAATTATACTTTGCCTTATAAGTAAACCTCCGAATGAAATCCGTTATGCAGTAATGAAATACTGAGAGTTCAGCATGTTTCTTCGTCAATCCAACGACCCGCAAAAAAACTTTCTCAAAAGGGAACTCGAGTGTCCATTAAAACAAAAACTCCAAACAACGCTGAGCCTCCGGATCAGCCGGGCTTAGCAAGTGCGGAGTTACCAAGTGAAGTTAGTACGGGAAAACTTGAGCTGCTCCATTATAGACGCTTTAGATGACGAAAAACTTGCTTGAGAAGGTTGACTTTCTCAATTCTGGGAAACTGTAGCAAATTTCTTGGATTTACCAATTCAATAGATTTAAGAAAGCCTTGTCATGTTCACGTGTCTCGCTCAACAACCCTTAACATTATTTATTATCCTAGAGAATTGCTCATTATACTCTACTGTCCTTCTAACATGTATTAGAAAATAGTAAAAATAGTCTTAACATATTATTATTAAGCAAACAATATGTATGTGCTTAAATGTCTGTAACAAAACATTAAGCTTCTTAAATATTATTACAGGGAATAGTTCCAATATTAAAACGATATAATAATTCTTCTAATAGATTTCTTAATTTCAGGTGACGATGACATGTGTGTATTCTCTCATCACAATATGCGGGATATTGGGCAACGTTCTGACGTGTGTGGTGATCGCAAGCAACCGCATCATGTACACGGCCACCAACTACTACCTCTTCAACATGGCCGTCAGCGACCTGCTGCTTCTCGTCATGGGCATGCCGCATGAAATGCAGGTATCGTCATTGTTTTTATTTCTTTCAGTTGTAGGTGCAATCGGGTCATATTTCGAGTGAACAGATAATATTATCACTTATGTGCATCAAGTTCTTTCAATAATTTCATATCTCTTTTCCCTCCTCATATCTTTCTAGTTTCATGTCTCTCTTCCCTCGCAAAGTAAGAGTATTGACTTCGCTAGTTAGAAGTTTTTCCTCCGCTTTGCCTGGTGTTCTTATGTTAAATCTTCATTTGGAGCATCTGGCCTCTCCGACGCCGATAAAATAATTATTATGGTTTGATCTACAGCTATGAATTAATATTCTTTCTGCAGATTCTATGGTCGCCATGCCCGTACGTTTTGGGTGGCGTGTTCTGCGTGGCACGAGGCTTGGCCGCGGAGACATCCACGAACACGTCGGTGTTGACGATCGCGTCGTTCACAGTGGAGCGCTACATCGGCATCTGCCACCCCATCAGGAGCCACACTCTGGCGCGCCTCAGCCGCGTCATGAAGATCATCGCCATGCTCTGGGTCGTGGGGTGTCTGGGCGCCGTGCCACAAGCCATCCAGTACGGCATAGAGGACGGCGAGTGCAAAGTGAGGCAATGTTGGTAAACTTGAGTTTGGTCTTCATTTGTACATAATTCAGAGTGAGGCGGAGAGTGCAAAGTGAGGCAATGTTGATAAACTTGAGTTTGGTCTTCCATTTGTACATAATAGAGAGTGAGGCGGAGAGTGCAAAGGGAGGCACTGTTGGTAAACTTGAGTTTGGTCTTCCATTTGTACATAATTCAGAGTGAGGCGGAGAGTGCAAAGTGAGGCAATGTTGATAAACTTCAGTTTGGTCTTCCATTTGTACATAATACAGAGTGAAGCGGAGCGTGTAAAGTGAGGCACTGTTGATGAACTTTAATTCATTTTTGTCATAAGGCGTATAGTTAGGCGGAGAGTGTAAAGGGAGGCATTATATTATTGATGAGCTAAAATTTGGTCTGCATTTGTAACAAATATAGAGTGTATCTGTGTAATACGGTGTGATAAGAACGGAGAGAGTAATTGTACCCTCTCCAGTTAATTGTAGCTTTACTGAGCCTAAGCACCGTATTACAAAGATACACACTCTATATTAGTTACAAATGCAGAACAAATTTTAACTCATCAATAATACAATGCTTCACTCTACACTCTCCACCCCACTATGTTTTATGTACAAATGAAGACACAAACTATACACGACACACACTATACACACTATACACGACACAAAGAACGCAGAACGCTGACTGCTGAGTTTCATGTGTTTGGTGAACTGAAAAAGCAGGAATTGAGGAATATTTTCTTGCTAAATAAAAAATTTCTAAAGAAGAATTTAGAGTAAAGAATAAACATTAAATTAGAGATCTTTTCATATATCAATGTAGATCGGTAATTAAATTAATTATATTTTACTGTTAAGATTTAACCATTGATTATTGAGGTAAATTGTCAGTAATGTTTAAGAGTAGAAAATCAAAGTAGGCACATGATTCGCCCATAGTTAATGATGCTTATGTGTTTATGCAGCATTATTTTAATGCTGTAGCTAATGAATGCAAACCTTAATTGGTCTTCACTACGCTTTAGATTTATTAAAGTTTAGTATGTTTTTTAACGACTTTTTATGTCCATAAATCATGGCCACCATGAATGGTTCGTTCCAATGTACTGTGCGTCAACGAAACATTCTGGTCGTTTGATTCAGCCAGCTGCGTTGGTTAAAGCTTATTCATTAGCTCGTAAGCGTCAAGTCTATAATCAACTTAGGGGAATATGCATAAATTATCTCTCGAAATATGTCAGATAAACCGCATATTAACATGCAAATATCATTCTTCGGACTCAACGCTTATGATTTTATTCTCATCACTGAAGCAAGTAGGTAAAAAAAATGTTCCATTTTTTGCGAATGATTTCATCCGCTCACAAGTTCAGTCGACAACCAAAGAGCATGTTGCTTGTACATTTTGAGTTTTGACCAAGTTTGGTGCTCTCTTTGCTCATCATCAGTGGTTGAAGTTCTTTAATTAAAATATTGCGTATGTAAATTGTATGAATCTTTAACTTCTGCATAATAGCCTCGTTGACACCCGCGGCAGATGGCTAAAATTATTTGTTAATTAATTATTTTTAATCTTGCTTTCATCACCGTACAATGAAACAGCTTGTTGACTCTCACGGCAGATGGTAAACACTATCAACTACAAGTTTTCATTATATGAATAGTTTTATTATAGGTATCATCATCACATAATAAAACCGCTTATTGACTCTCATGGCAGGTGGTGAACGCTATTAACTACACGTTTGAGGTCTCAACATTCCTGTTCTTCGTGACGCCCATGACTCTGATCACGGTGGTCTATGTCAAGATCGGTCTGGAGCTCTACGGAGGACAGAGACCGCGAGCCTCTCACAGAGGCTCTCTGAGCCACAGCAGCTCTGCAGCTCTAGACCGCAGCCGCAGCAGAGGCGTTATAAAGATGCTGGGTGGGTGTCAGGGTCTAATTAGTGCTATCTCTGTAGCTTACATAAGGCGATAGGCTGCCACACCAGACTGTCTCTTCAAGACTAAGAAAGATAATTTAAAGAATCAAGTCTGCCTCGGTACGTGCTAGTTTGCACGTGCGATCGTTCGAGTGTGTGGCGTAACCTCAACGTTCATGCTGAACTGTTATTTTTTCGATTTTCGAAGAGTGTATGTCACCGAATAATCGTTTGTGCAATAGTTAGGCGGTTACAGCTAATACTTTCTTTGATTTTTAATACTTAACGATAAAGTATTTTGGTTGTTACGAATCAAATGCTGCTGGTTCACCTCTCCGGTTATTTCCGAATTCATTCTCATGGTTAAGTTGACAGTACTTGTTGATCATTCGTTCAAGTTGTTGCTTTAAAATCATTTTTTCGTTCTTGTAAAAAGATAGCATGTATATTAAAAACTTTGACACTATTTACTCGAGTAACATATATAATGTGCTATTCATACCACTACATCCATAAATTTACCGCTACTGACTAGTTATTTAGCAGCAAGTAATGCTGAAACTTGTTACAAAGTAACAAGTTAGTATAATAGTGAACGACAACTTTAATCATAAACAACATATCCAATTAAATGGTAAACAGCAAATTTGACTAGTTACTAAGTAACATGTTAGTATAATATTGAACGACAACAGTAATCATAAACAAAATAGTCAGTTAAATCATAAAAAGTAAATTTTGTGCATATTTTGGCAAAAGTTAGCCCAAGCTTTGCCCCGCAGTTGCGGTGGTGGTGGCTTTCTTCGTCTGCTTTGCCCCGCACCACGCGCAGCGCCTGCTTGCCTTCTACGGCGACAGCAGCAACCACGTTCAGGTCTGATGACGTTCATCGTAACTGTTAAATTATTAGTGCTTTTATCATTAGTGTAATTAAATATAAAGTTAACCAATAATTTTAAGCAAAGAAAAAATCTAAATAAATTCATCCTATTATCATCGTATGAAGATATGTGTCTAAAATTTTTAATTTTTCAATGAAGAAATGATGAATCTGCAGTGCATTTTTATTTATTTTAAATTTTTAGTTAAACTATGGTAGCGAAATTTTTTTATTATCTTGGAAGACACACGATAAAATTAGTGCAGATAGACGAATGCCTGATGTCTGATCTTGCCATTGCTAGATTGACATGTAATATGATCCAAATTTCCTATTATTATTATTATTAATTAGTAATAATAATTCGATTCAATCAGTATCATTAATAATAATGTTAGTAAATTAATAATTAAGTAACAAAATATCTAAATTTACTTTTTATTTGTGTGCAGGTTATTGTGTACAAGTTCCTGACGCACATTTCCGGAGTTTTTTTCTACATGTCGACGTGCATCAACCCCATCCTATACCACATCATGAGCAAGCGTTTCAGGCAGGCCTTTAAGGTGATCGTTGTGGGGCATACGAACGACAATCTCTTATTTTATTCAGTATATTCTAACAATCATTCTGTAATTTTTTTTCATAGCCTTATAATTACAAATATTAGCGTAAACTATAATCCTGGTCATAATTAGCATTCATAAATCGCGTTCCAAAATGAAATCGTTGTGATGAACCCTGATAGACTAGATTTTTCTTTTAATAAATTTCGAATTTTAAACTGACATCATAAAAAGGATACGGATTATTGGCTTAGATTCGCTTCATTTAAGCTGCTTTAGTTTATTAATAACGTCACTCAATCGATCAATGGCACATGATCGTCGGTTTGAATTTTAAGTTTTTTTTAGAGTTCAAAATTGTGTAGTAACCAGGGCCTAATTTCGTCAGGGGCTTTTACTGAACATGAAAATTATTTCCATTTGTAATACAGTATATAAAATTTATCTTATGCATAATGTAACTATATAGCCACCACCATCACTGGCGAATTTATACCTACCGTCAAGACAATTAATTTGAGTTCTAGCTTCATGAATAATAATGAATATGAGTTAATCGAGTTAATAAAAATCGACATTTTTAAAATGAAATTCCTGTAAAATTATGCGAGACGTGAACTGTATATCACCACAACAAATACCGAGGACGAAGTATGTGCGTGGCTAATCGTTCATAAATAAAAATTTTTGCACAATAAGTAAAAAGCACTACTTATGTCACGTTGGACCATGAATTTTTACTATCTTGACTTAAGAAATTTCGTGAGATAGTATTTTTCCTCTTACATCAACGGTGACAAATAACAATAATGATAATATTTATTATTATTAAAACAGTTCTGTCCGTGTTGTAGAACGTCTTTTCTTTTTTTGTTTCGTATGAGCTACAAATTATTAAATTATTTCACGTCCATCGCAAAAATATTTGCAGATTTCCCTTATGTCCTCAGCATTTAATGTTAGCGTTACTCAGCGTTATGTTACTTATCAATTATTAATTCATATAGTTTCTTTATTTACAGGAGACAATGCGGCGCTGCTGCGGCTATGGCCGGTCTCAGCTACAATATCAGCTGAGCGTTGGTGAGCATAGCAAACCGACGACAGCGACGCTTCTCGATGATGCTCGTGTGTAGATTGTTAGGCATCACAACAGCTCGTGTGTAGATCTTAGCGCATCACCGCGTGGGCGACGCATCTGTGTTCGTGTGTAGATTTTGGATGCACTTTAAAGCCACGCCTGTTCCTTTCCAGCCATCCGTTCTGATTTTTACGCGTGGGAGCAATCTCGGCTTTTTCCAGTGCCGGGCTGTCACTGCGAAAATATTCTCATGAAACGTGGTCAAGATTTTCAAAATTTGGAAAGGGAAAGAATTTTCATTCAAATTGATGTCCCCATTCCGATTTGGTTGGGGTTACATTAAAATAGGCAAAATTTATGTCGAGATAACGTCTAATTTTTGTAATTTAGGTAAGCTATTCAACCACGTTTATTGTAATTTTTCACTCATAAAACTTTTCTGAAAACGAAAATGTTTGGCGCATTTTATCAATTTTATTTTGAAAATTTGGTGCTTCATTTTTTCAAGCTTGCAAATTTTTCTCATATTCAAAGACAATTTTCCTATCAATATTTTTCTCGAAGGTTTGCACTTAAATAGGCTTATTCCTTCATGTAATTTCGGTCTCTTCGTCTCATTTTCGAATATCTTAGGAACCAAACAGTTAGGAATTTGTTTTGTTGAAAATCGTACTTTGTTACATCTTATTCTACCCGGCGCCCAGTACTTTTTTTGCCGCCATTTTAGGTGCCAGGTTTTACCGTCTTAGGTGACAGAACGCAGCACAAAATCTAGGTGGGCATTTCGACTGTCGCGAGAACTTATGACGGCACTCATTGCTGGGCAAGCCAGAAATATGAGGGCGAAGGGGACCCTGAAATGAAGTTGAAGGGAAAATAAGATGATCTTAATATTTATAAATAGACTGTGGCCCAGATTTCCCTATCACTAACGCTGCAAACGATGATGTTGCCTCATATTTGTAGGGTAGTTTTCTTGCAAAAATTCATGCGTTAGTGGTTTCTTTTCGCTGTGTTTGTAATGTGATGTCAGTAGTTCGAACCCTGTTGCTTGTCATAGACAAACGTTCTTACATGCTTGGAATGTTTTATTTATGCTCATCATTGTCGTTTGGTAAATGTTAGATTTATGAATGTAATCCGTAAGTGTCTATACCATGTGCTTGTCATTTGCGCTTAATTCTGGCACGAGTTTATTCGATTTTTGTGCTAATTATTTCAATTATTCCAGTATTAGATTGTCTAACAAATGTGTCAATGTAACAAAAATGTGTTATTCCATAATTCAGTCAAGAGATCGAGAAAGAAAACTATTTTTATACCCTACCTCAGACACAATTGCTTTGGTAAAGTAGTTATTTGCTGCTACCTCTTTTTTCACGAAGATGTTAAAAACGAACCATTCAGGTTTGTTTTTTTTATTGACTCTGGTATTATATCGTAATCTTCTGAATCCATGACATTTATATGTACATTAAAAGAAATTTCTCCTTGTAGTATCACAAGCATTCTTGTACCCAAGCGTTGCAAAAAATTTCTGTTGCTTTGGTCTGAATTTTCAGTAGAAGTGCGTATTTTTCATCTTGCAATGCAATCACGCGTTGAATCAAAACCCCTGTGCATTGACGGTTGTCAGAGCATCGATCATTGCCATAGAATTATTAATCGAATTAACGGAATTATACCGCTGATGAGTATCACTCGATTTTTGTACATATAAGCCGCACCTCAGCTGCCGTATATTCAACCGATTATAGAATAGGGCCATAAGAGTATAATAATTCTATTACGATAATACATTCTGATTTGAAAAGTGGTCATTCATAGCTGAAATCATTACATTTTTACCGTGTTACATTTTTTGTTGTTAACTTCTTTCTAAACCGTGAGATTATAATTTGCTGTATAATTAAAGTTCAATTTCTTGTTAAAACAAAATGTTTGTGATTCCAGGAAACAGTTTTTTTTCTGAACAGGCTCACGCTGTCAGAGTCACAAACATAATTTAGTTGGGAATTAAGTAAGCTTAACTCAATACATGGCACTGCGAAGATCCTGATTACGTCGTTTGCTAGGCAACCAAATTAGAGTTACGCTACGTGTTATAGCTTCCGCTGAATTTAAACTGAATGCGCCCTCCTGGCCAAAACATCGTTGTGGAGTTGCGTAACGAGCAATTATAGAAGTGTTTTTCATGTCCTATATCATACTGTTTATCGTCGAAACAGAATCTGTATGCTATGCATGTAACTGTACCTAGCTGATACGTGAACTTTTATTTCGATGATATGAAATCAGATGCCGGTTTCTGACCGGATTACAATTGCAGCGGATATTCAAGTAAATGTTAAATTTTCAAGATATTATAGATTTTTCAAAATTATGATGATGAATTTTTCAAGATACTTCACAATTGTTTAACATGATGCGACACATTAATCGATCATGATTTAAATATGGTAGGAACTGTTCGCAATGTCATGTGTGATTTTTATTTATACTACATTTCCATTTTAAAAGTAAAAATTGTATAAACTGTAGCAATGATTGAATGATCCAGTAGCAAGCGATATAATCAGAGACAACGCTGATGCCTAATCGATCAAACTAACGAAGCTCATTATGCTCTAAGGGTTTCCTGAAATTCCAGGAGACAATTTGGTGAAACCAAAGAGCCTGCTGCCAAATAAAGCTTAAGAATCTTCCGGACGAGACTTTCTCTTGAGACTCTACGCCGTCGGACAAGACGAGGTGATGACTAAGTGAACGACTCCCGAAGTGAACGACTTCGAGGTCATTACCAGGTGAACAACTCCGAGGTCATTACCAGGTGAATAACTCCGAGGTCATTACCAGGAGAACAACTCCAAGCTATGAACCTCCGACGTCTTCTTGGCTTAACTCAACCCTACCACTAAATCGGTCTTCTCCCCAGCCCCTGCGTTCGCACCAACGTCTGCAACGCCAACACTCAACATCGCAGAGAAGCAGCTGCAATCAACAATTACATTCCACAGATCTTAATAAAACAACACTTCTATGCACCGCTTGTCCCTGAATCGTGTGAAGATAATTTTACCCAACACCACAACTTTTTACAATTTCCAGTACTCATGCTGTTCGCAGCCCATGTTGCGAAGTAAGAAAAATCAGCCTATGCTTCTAGTGGACTTCCGTACTACCTGTTTGACTCCCAACGGAAATACTCATCTCCAGAATAACTTACAAGGCTGCCATGTCTAACTCCCACTCCATTGTCAATTGACTGGCATTGAGTCGAGTTTCAACCCTTCTACAATGGATGAAGCAAATGCATGAGTTCTTCTAGATAGACATAAGTAAATTATCCAGGCTCATGTTCTCTTTTTATGTTCGCATTAAGTGCGCAATTCCTAGTCTAACTTTTAACTTTTAGAGGTGTATGTTAATACAAAATTCTAACATAATACATAGCTGACTGATAAAAAATTTAACTAATCAAACTATGTTCGTTTCAAAACTAAAACTTGCTCGTATTTAAGCTCGATGTAAAGAAAGTATGTTTAAACAGACACATTAGCTAAAAATATTTAGGATCTATAGTAACTTTAAATAAAATATCGTTGCACCATTGTATAATAGTTGAGTATGCGTGAGTAGACTGATGCAAAATAATTAAGAAAATGTTGAACAATGAAGAGCAATAACTAACAATGATGGGAGGGGATTTCTCCGGTGATTAAGTCCTAGCGGCTGAAGTAATGGGTTCGTAAGCATCTCAAAATTACACGAAGAATATTTAAAGATGAATTCTCAAACAAGTTTATGTGAAATTGCGTTACTGAATTACGAAAATTCGGTCTTTATATTTTGCAGTAATTGATCAGAGGCCTTTCGACGTAAATTAGTTTGAGTATCTAAACCAAAATCCGTATAAATTCGTTATTGTAACACAATAAATGACAAATGAATGATTTAAAAATCTTACTGATGACTTATTTCTTCTTTACTTATAATCACAATTCGCACAGCATTTTTTTACCTCTTAGGATAAAGATTTATGTATATACCTATTTATATGGAACAAATGGTGAACACTCTCGGACACTAAAATGTTCTGCGTTGATCTCGGGAGTATCGATGGTTCTTGCTGCTTAATTGAAACTTCAATGTGGTGTAAGATCGTTTTAGATATACGATCGTTATTTTGACTTTATCTTTCTATAACCATTACTTTAAAATTCTCTTTACTGAATCATCACTTTTTAAATGAAAAATTCCGAACGTTATTTTTTTCTTCTGGTTTTATTTATGAGTTAGGTTCACAAATTTGATGTTTCGCACCATTCCCGCAATCTTCTGCCTATCATTTGGTATTAAAGTCTGAGACTGTACAGAAAATGGATTTAAATGGCCAAATTTAGTCATCATCTGGCGTACATATCATTCGGTATCAGTGCGGTGCAGTCCTTGCAAGCATATCAACAAATTTACGCAAGTTCAATCAAAATTTCTATTTTTTACAAATAGTGCAAGCTTATATGGGAAATCTACCCATTAGCTTCTCTGAATTCCTCGAAATGAGGATTTTTTCTATCGCTTTTATGACCGGAACGCCTTCTGTTGAATAAATCCACAATTATGCGGTCAACTTCGTCAATGTAACGAAATGCAAGTAAATTGAAAATTTCGTACTAAAAATATCAGCAATTTCTTCACCTACTCATGTACGTAAGTAAGGTCAAGCCTAGCCCTCGAGCTCATTTCTAATATCGGCAGAAAGTACATGATCTCGCATAGAATTATTTCTCGGTTATCTCAATATACAAAGGCGTTGTCATCGAACTGATTTAATCATGGGGTTAAAATTCTCTGCTGTTGAGATACATAATATTATGGAACCTTTGAGCATGTGATGCCACCATAGCTGCGCTCTGGACAATGGTTATCCGCGGAAAGGGACTATGTATATTTCTGCAGCTTTTACCACGCTTTACCTGCGTCATGCTGTAACGTGATATGTGTAATTACATTGGTTTATTCTGTTTACATTGGTTTATACTATTACATTGGTTTATACTATATTAGAATTACATTGGTTTATAGTAGTACATTGGTTTTTACTCTAGTGTTACATTGGTTTATGCTATATTTTTCCCTCCGAATGACTCAATTTAAAAGAAATGCCATTAGTTTAGACGAACTCGATCAAGTTCAGTTCTGCATTTATTGTATCTTGAAGATGCTTCCGTTTTTTTTTTAGCTTAGGCTGATGTTTATAAATTTGTTCAAACATATGTAGATACACATCATTGCGTGGATGTCATGGTTCCTCCCAATGATTAGGAGACAATTAATATGTTACTGGCTTAGATGTCTGGCTCAACGGGAGTGAAATAAAAATCCGTGGGATTTTTCTTCGCTTTATTTCATATGGGTGACGTGGAATACTGCACAAAGTTTTCTATGCGATCGGATGGTAGGTCTGACATTATTTGAGTCATTGGTTCCGCTCGTAGTTTGCGACAAGTGACACAGTCGCGGATCATCTTTCGGATCAGTTGGCGACCGTGTTCGATGTGGAAACCAGCTTGTATCAGCGTGCCGTGTGTGATGTGGCCTCCTTGGTGTTTCGATTCTTCGTGGAAGTGAGAGGCGATGATCGTTGAGAGGGGATGTTCGCGCGGAAGCAGAGCGGGGTGCTTCACGCAGAAGGGTAGGTTCGCGTTTTTTAGGCGGCCGCCGACTCTGAGGATGCCGTCTGAATCGAGGCGAGGGGTTAGCTCGGTAGTTTTGCAGTTTTCGGGAAGTCTCTTACGATTTTCAAGTAAGGCTAGTATCGTTCCGTATGGTCCTTTCTGGGCTTCTTTGATCAAAATTTTGAGTGCGTCGTTACGGCTTATCTTTGCCGGCCTAGGTGCTAAGGTGATTCCCCGCTTTTGGCGAACCAGGTCGATGTGATGTTTGAACTTGGTTACGTTTCTGGTAATGTTTATGAGTGTATTGAGTTTGTTCGTTCTATTCCATACGCTTGCGAGTGGAGACGTTTCTTGAGTAATTGCGGTTAGCAAGATTGAAGCAGTCTTGGTTTCTTCAGGTAAAGAGACTTCTTCTTGGGGGAGTTTGTCTGGGCAATAAGAAGGGTTCCATAGGGTAGCCGGTCCGTTAAACCAGGGCGTTGACGTCAGTGTATCGGGGTATGTTGGACGCGACGCGTAGTCTGCAGGGTTTTCCTTCGAAGAAATGTAGTGCCAGTTAGATTGGAGCGTGTGATCTAAGATGATGCTTACGCGTCTCTCCACGTATTTTGAGAAGCGCCGTTGTTTGTTTGCGAGGTAGCCCAGAACTATCTTGCTATCGCTGTGCATCAGTACGTTGTCTGGCTTCCGTTCGAGTTCTGTCACGGTTGAGGTCGCTCCTTTGGCGGCCTCCAGGGCGGCACATAGCTCTAGTCGGGGTATGCTAGTGGCGCATCTAGGAGCAACTCTGGATGCGCTTGAGACGAAAGCGACGTGGGTGTCGCCTTCGTCAGAAAGAGATCTCAAGTACATGACGTAGCCGATGGCTTTGTCTGATGCGTCGCAGTAGACGTGGAGCTCTTGTTTTTGGGGCCTGAAGTTTAGGGGGTAGAAGTTCCTTGGTACTTGGATGAGTTTCAAGAGGCGCAGTGATTCGATCCATCGATCCCACCCCACTTTGTACTGGTCGGGTAGAAGGTCGTCCCATCCGAAGTTTTGGAGAAGGTTGACCGAGTCCTTTGGGGGAAGAACATCTCTCTGAATGAGGCGTCCCATGAGGGTTACTGGGCTCACTAGCCCTAGGGGGTCGTAGATTGTGTTAACGACAGAGATGATTCCGCGTTTGGTGAAGGACCGCTGAGGTATCGTTACGTTTATCATGAAGGCATCATTTAGTGTACTCCAAGCTACTCCTAAAGTACGTTGGACCGAGGTGGGTTGCATTTCAAGGTGTAATGGTTCTCCGGCGCGTTCCGTTGCTGGGAAGTGGTTAACCACTTCGGGAGAGTTGCTGACAATTTTGTGCAGTCTTATATTATGTCTGAATAGCATTTCTCGAGCCTTGGTAAGAACTTGAATGGCGCATTCTGGGGAAGTAACTGATCGCAGACCGTCGTCGACGTAGAAGGATTCGTTGATGTACCTCCGAGCCAGGTCGTAGTCTTTGGGGAACGGTTGTGAGGCGCAATGTTTGAGGCCGAAATTGGCCACTGCCGGGCTGCTAGTACAGCCGAATATGTGACTGGTGGACCGGTACTGTACAATAGGTTTGTTGCAGTCATTCTGATCGAACCAAAAGAATCTGAGTAGGTCTCTCTGCTCGGCCGGCACCTTGAAGTTCGAGAACATGGCCTCGATGTCGGCTCCGAAGGCGATGGGGTGCTCCCGGAACCTCAGAAGGACTCCTCGCAGATGATTCGTAAGGTCTGGGCCTTGGTATAGCGCGTCGTTAAGGCTGGTCCCGTTATACTTGGCTGATGCGTCGTAGACGAGCCTGACCTTCGATTTCTTAGGCTGGTCGACGCAGAAGATTGGTAGGTACCAGGATCTTCCTGACGGAGGGTCTAGTTGGGTGGGGGGAACCTTTTCGACAAATCCGGCTTCGATATTTTTTCTCATCGCCTCCAGGCAGCTTTTCAGTTTTGAGTCTTGGCTCTTCAATTTGTTCAAAGTGTTTTTGCTGCGATGGAATACAGCTATCTTGTTGTCGGGCAGGTTTTGATCTCGAATTGGGAGAGGGAGTTCGATATGTCCTTCTGGTGTAGTGCGCACGTTTTCAGCCATCAGACTGAGGAAGGTTCGGTCGTCACGCGACAAACCCTGAAGATCGTCTTCCGCATTGCGAGCGAAACTATCTGCTAGCGAGCCGTCGGGTAGTTTGGAGGGGAATCGATATTTCACAGATACGGAATTTGAGTTTCGGGTATCAACTCGGGTGGCGAGTACGGTAAAGGCAGGCGTTGGCAATTGTTCTTTGATGCAGGTATGTCCGACCAGGGCATACCCAAGGGGCGTCTTATGTACGTAAGGTTCACAGCCGGGGGTGAGTGATTCGGTGGACATGGCGCGTCCGCAGTTGCGCCCTATCAGGAGTAGAACCTCCGCTTCCGGGTGTCTCGGTGGGAACAAGTGGGCGAGGTGAGCGGTGTGAGGGTGGAGTTTCGCGATTTGTGGGGTGGCAGCTTCGTGTCTGGTATCTGACAGGCTCGGGGTGGAAAGTGCTTCGGGGATGTTGATGACCTCGCTTGCATTTATTCCTCTCACCATGAGGCCAGTGACTACTTGTCCGGTAGCTGCCAAGGTGCAGTCGGGTCGCGCGAAGCTGAGGGAATATTCCTGTAACGGGAATGATTGATTGAAGAATGCGGGGACGCGATCGTCTACGAGAGAAGTAGTGGCTTGTTCGTCGATGATGCAGTAGGCTACTAGTCTTTTATCGGGTGCGCTCTTCATGGTGAGTTCCACCAGAAGAGTCTTGGAGCAGTTCTTTGCGTTATCACCTTGGTCGTTGAGCTGCGTATACATGACATGAGCACCCAGCGTGTGTTGTTTTGAGGACGTGTCTCGGTAGATGTTTCCGGGTGCGTTGTTGCTGAGGTGAGGTGTGTTCTCGGGTGTGATGTTCGAGGTAGACCGAGGCGTAGGGTCGGTAGTAGGACGGTGCATCAGAGTGTGGTGTTGTCGGTGACAGACGTCGCATTTGAAGTTTGATGCGCAGTCAGCGGCCCGGTGAGTCCCTAGGCAGCGAAAGCAGAGTACGTTGTTGATCGCGATGATTCTTCGTTCGGAGTACTGGAGTTGGCTGAAAGCCTTGCAGTCTAGTATCGAGTGGCTCGCAGATTGGTGAATCGGACACGTCTGCCGGGGGCTAGTGTTGGACGAGACGGTCGTTTGCAAGATTCTTGCGGCGGGTTTCTTGTCGCTTTCGATTGAGGGTTCCTTCACTTTTACAGCATAGTTGTCGTCCGACATTTCTCGTGTGATCTCAATACAGCCATCAGCATCTTTACCCACATTATTATATTTTTCCTTCTTCTCAGCATTTTCTGTTGAAATGTTTCCTGTATGAGATGCGACCAGGAAAATACTCGAACTGGTTTACTTGATGTCGTCGAGCAATTATTCTTATCACTACGACACTTTTTTTCTCGTGGGCAGCAAGTTATTTTCCTTTTTCTTACTGATCTAATAAAAATAATTTTCATACTGATCTCGGGGCAGTGTTCCATATGTTGTAATATGACCTCACAGTGGTCAAGTAGCTCTTGCAGTTGCTCCGCTTGGTTTGACCCTCGAATTACAGGGAATTTGTCAACCCTGGCGATCAGGTCATCGGCGATCCTTCCTGTGGCTCCATAGAGGCGTTGTAGCTTGTCTCCGACGGCGTGAAGATCTTCTGAGGTAATTCTCCTACCAGAGGTGCGTCTCGTTTTTATAATTGCGCGCGGACGTCCCGACGAGTGGGTTTCCCACAATTGGAGAGTTTCGCGCGGGGAAAGCCGCAGGGTTTCCGCGTATTCGCGTAGGGTGGCCGCCCACGGTCAGAACTGAGTAGGTGTGCCATTGAAGCTGTCTATCGTTTTTTTAATCAGGTTTTGTTGTAACATATAGTTCGCGAACATTGTCAAGATGTCTTGGGTGTTGGGGTTCGAGGGCGATGCATGGTTGTTCTGGAGGAATGGGTTATTTGGGGAACATTCAGTGGGCGGGGGGTTTCGTCTGCTGTTGTGGTGATATGTTAGTGTGGGGAGTTGCCAAGATGTTTGGATTCGGGGGCGATGTCGGGTAGGTGTGGGAGAATGAGTTATGCGAGGTGCATTCAGTAAGGGTGGATTTAGTCTGGTGTTGCATGGTGTGACATGTTGGTGTGGTGAGTTGCCTGGATATTAGGGTTCGGATGAGATGTCGGGTTGGCCTGGAAGGATGGGTTATGCGGAGGACATTCAGTTGGGAAAAGTTTCGTCTGGTGTTGGTGTGATGGTGTGATATGTCGGTGTGGTGAGTTGCCTGGATGTTAGGGTTCGGGTGCGATGTCGAGTTGGCTTGGAAGAATGGGTTATGCGGAGGGCATTCAGTTGGGAAGGGTTTCGTCTGGTGTTGGTGTGAGGAGTTGCCTGGATGGGAAGAGCATTACGTGGGTTTAGGTCGGGATGCGGAGGCGTGTACGATCCGAGTGAGGGTGACGGTCCGTTTAGGTGTTGGGGAATTATGATCGAAGAGTAAGAAGGCAAAAGTGAGAGGTTTGGGCCGTAGTTAGGGAGTTTCGAAGCTGTAGATGGGGTGGCAGCCGGATGGACAGTGGGGGAGTCTTTCGAGCTAGAGAGTGGTGCAGAACTGGGGTGCGGGTGGAATCGGTCTAGAGGGGCTAGTGTGGAATGGATGGGGTTTGTTCGTAGTAAGGTGTCTAAGGAGGAGGTAGGTGTGGGAAGGTGACTGGGTTCACGCGGAGCGTAGGCTGTGGGCTCGACGACTGCAGGGTAATCTGGCCGTGCGGCTGAGACTGTTGGGGGTATCGACTCGTCGAGTTGCGAAGAGAGGGAGTAGCCTGATCGAACGGATGAAGTGTCGAAATGGAAGGATGAGACCCCATCGTGGTTAAGTTGTTTTAGGCGCTCGTTAATGAAAGCTAGGCTCTGCGCGCAGCCTTCCTGAAGACCGCGCTTATTATCTTTGGCAAGTTGCAGATCGGCGCTGCAGCCCTGCCGAAGTAGTGTCGACTTCAGAAGCTTACAGCAACGGTTGTACGAAATCATCTTATCTTTCAGGTTTCTGGACCACTGGATCAGCTGCTCTGGTTCGTATCTCGCGTTTTCCTCATCTAGGTTCATCGACGTTAAGGTGTCGATTTCGTCCTTTATAGTTTCTAGTAGCCTTTCTAGTTCGCTGCGGGGCAGCTGTCGTTCTCTTTTTGATGGTTCCGCGCTCGCCATCCTCTTCTCCTCCTTGAGCCTTTTGATATATTCCACTGGCACAACTGTATGGCTCAACATATACAAAAATAATGAATATTGAATTTAAATTTTAATAGAAGATGACTGAATTTCCGACTTCAGTTATTAACCATAACCAATTTCAACGAATCAGGAAAATAAGAAATGATTTGCTACTAGAAACTGAACAGGCTTTATTTAAGTTCAAAGGATGGATCAACGGCTGGCTCGGTCATCCATGGCTGGCCATGAACATCACACGGTACACGCCTGCAAGTAAACAAACCCAAGCTTGAGAATTAGTTGAATACAGTACATGGCTAATTAATATCAGTGTTCAACAAAAAATCGGTGGAATTCACAAATTAATAACGGTCCAATCCCAAAGGATCATCCAATTTTGAACAATTGGCTAGGAGCGAGGTAAGCAGGTTCTGGCCAAGAATCAAGCCTCACCTCTGACGTCTCCGAAGCTTCAAGGAGTGTAGCTTCCAGGAGTGTAGCACCACCGTGACCACAGCTGCTGAGCAGGAGAACGTCTGAGCTCCAGGTAGGGGAACCACGCTCTCGTCGAGCCACCAAAACGTCAGATCAAGAGGAGAGCAGGACCGCGGCCGAGGTCAGATGCTGCAGGTATGCCTTCCAAAAAAACTGCTAGGCAAACACAGGTGAAGCGGGAGCACCGTACGGTTAGGCTGGTGTGGGAAATCTGATTGTTCTTGCTGCTATTATTCTTCTTCGGGTTCGGCTTGACACCGGCCAGAAAAGCGGATTATTTACCACTAATAAATTTAATGAATTCCACCAGATTTTTGTACACAACAGGAGTGAAAGAAAAGTCCGGTAGATATTTTTCTCCGCTTTATTTCATATGGGTGACGTGGAATACTGCACAAAAGGGTTAGGATTAGGTACTGGCCTGGGAACGGGTCTTTAGACCATGATAATAAGAAACTACACAAAAGGGTTAAGATTAGGTACTGGCTTGAGAACGGGTCTTTAGACCATTGAAAAGTGTGCGGGATCCGCCATGTTTAACGATGCTATAGTCGCCGTCTTGGCTTCTAGCGGGAAGCGCCTCAAAAATTTCTTAGGTTTTTTACGTTGTTAGGGACGTCATGAAAGATTACAGTAGCTTAGGCTAAGAAATAATCACTACTACGCCTTAAATCTACTACGCCGTTGAAATAATTAGGAATTACTACAAAGGCACACGAACTGAAAGTTTGTCTCTGATCCGCCATGTCTGGCCACGCTATAGTCGCCATCTTGGCTCTTAGCGAGAAGCGCTTCAGAAGTTTCTTAGGTTTTTTTTACGTTATTAGGGGCGTTACGAATGGTTACAACATTTTATCAGTCTGCGGTTGCGCACAATTCATATAGGTAAGAGGGAAAGCACTTAAGGTTACTTATCACTAGAAGAAAATCCACGTCGGTCCGGGTAAAATCAGCACGGGTGTTTGCGCTATCTCACTGCAAGGCAGACTGAAGCTTGGGGTGTTTGTAGAGCAACCCAAGCGGGCCTGTTTGTCCCAAAGAAAACGGAGTGTCATTTAAGGGGGACTATGACAAAGTTCTGCCGGGTATAGATGATGTAGCTGAAGGGTGTGTTTGAAGCTGACGAGCGTCTCAGAGCGACGTCACAGTTACCGTTGTATTAATTTATATGGATGAAAATTTATTATCGCCTAATTTTATTGATAGAGTCTAATATGTTCATCTCAGTTTTAAAAATAGCAAATTGGAGATGTAGTCTATTTGAATTTGTGTGCGATATTTATAATAAAGATGCCGTCTAGTTATTACGCATTGAGACTCGCACCGCTTCAATAAAGCAGAAATTCTTGCGCTGCATAGGAACAGCATATGACTTTTGGTTGAAAAAACCTCACAAATAAGCAGCAATAACCATGAATCGCCAACGTTGGACTCTAAAAAATTTACCATGAATTTTCAACAGAATTTTGAGATTAGTTTGCTGCTTGTTTTAGACCATTTGATAATTCGATCATTTATGAAATTACTTATTATAAACTCAAATGCTGGCTGACTAGTATTGAATATTTTAAATTGTAAAGACAGTATTGAATTAGTTAACGTGATTGGTCGAACTTAAATCAATTATTTTGTATATTCAATTCACATGCGCGTTTAGTCTCTAACAGCCAAATAAATTTAATGACTTTTTGCATTGATTGTGGGTATGCATATAGGCTAATCAATTCCAGGGTATGCATATAGGCTAATATTCTTGCCACACATGCAAATATGAAACGGGACGTTAAACTTAAAAATTCGTGATCACCCAGCATTTTACAGGATTTTAATCGTTCATTTAAAATTTAGTTAGCGTTTTTGATCTTCCAGCATATATTTTTGCTGGTTCCTTAATTTCTTGTCTAGTGTTAATTATGAAGAGATTATATACATGCTATTAAACATAAATTTAAATTGCGGATTCTGTATTGCTAAGTATACCCGGAAATTAAGTTATATATAAGTATATTCTGTTCTAATAATAAATCTTACACAGTTAGATTTATTATTTTTACAGATTTAAACATGCTTCTGTGCAGTGTTCTTTACAACAGGCGATTTTCTTGTTAGTGTTAAACTGGCACACTGTTACGAATAGGTCCCATTGACTGAAAAATTCATCAATTGTAAACGTAATAAATGTATTATTATAATGAACAAAGTTCCAATTTCGTATATATTCTAAGTAATCGTTAGATAAAAAAGCAATTTTTTGGGGGTAAGGATGTGCACCACCGTAATAATGATATGAATTATAAATGTATTTACAGTTGTAGGCGATTGAGCGACTGTTCAGTTGACACGGGAAGAAACAACTAATGATATAGCTTTAAGTTTAAAATATTAATTGAAAACCAACATACCTGTACATTATTCATTATTGGGGCATGGGTTTTCAGTCATTGTATGGCCATCGTTTGCATGATTGTGTATGTTGAATTGTCTTAAAATAATTACTGGCATTAATGTTCAGATGTTGACCTCTTACGGTGCTCTCGATCCCGT